GGGGCTCACGTCTGTGCCCTCCTCTGGGCTTTCCCGGAGTGAAAGGCTCTGCTGCTGCCCTTTGAACAGTCCGTGTCGAGAATGTCCCTGCAGAGCTCCTTAATCTCATGGTGGCGCCTGGCTAATGTGGAGCTGGGCACTGAAATGCTGAAAAACAGAGAGATAGTGAGATAAGATTAGATACAGAAGTAATTTAGTCACTCATCATACAGAGCAGCTGACATAAGTTCATTTGTAAAGCCAACTGCTAAAATTGCTTTAGAAGCCCTTACATTTGAATTCTGTTGAAGGCAGAGCTTTGATCTGAATTGTTCTGGTGGCATGTGCATTATTTGAATGGAAGCTCACCTGGGCAGGTAGTACCAGACCGGTCATTCCTGGCATTCCCTTCCACGGGAAGCAGTGTCCATGCAAATCCATCCCTTTGGATAGCTCGGGGCAGGCAGATAACTGAGCATCGTGGAGCAGACAGACACTGAAGGCATCAGCTCCGTGCTATGCTGATATGCAGAATGAATCATGGCTAATAAAAGGTTCAAACAACCATATATATGACTAAATGTAACCCCAAAACACTTTTAAGTTAGGCGTGATCAGAAAATAAAGGCAAAAAATTAATAGATAAGTGTTATTCCTTTTCTTTTTCATTAATATTTATTAAATCACACTGTGGGGGAAACGGAGGAGGAAGGGAAATAAAAGAGACCTGTCCAATTCCCTATTGTTTATACCACTTCTTTATTTCTTGCATTCATTGCAGGGGAAATTATTTACATTTGCATGTTATGTTTTGTAATTTGGCATTAAAAATTTTCAAAGACACTTCCCGGGGCAGTTTATTTTTGAAGTGGGTTATTTGTTTTCACCCTAAATATGAGGCCACACAGAAGCATTGCCAGCTATGGAAGGGGCAGGGGGTCAGAAGGTGTGGAGCTGCTTGGTGCCTGTGCTCCTCTGAGGGGTGTTCCCAGCACTGCCCCGTGCAGGGCTCAGGCCCTCCGCAGCAAAAGCTGCCAGGTGTGGGGATGAACCGCAGCTAGATCACTGCAGCTCTTAATTAGTGGCTGCTGAACTCTCGGAAGATTCTGTGGCTGAATTAGGATAAGCACTCAAAGTTCAAATGTTAGGCAAAGTCTCTTTGGTTATAATGCTGGAAGTCACTCTGGAGCTGGCTCGCTCATCCCATTTTTAATATTTCCTGGCTGAACCACTGCACAAACTGCAGCTGGCACAGAAGGCAGCTCCCTGCTTCGTGCCCACCCAAAATCGGTGATTGCAGGCGTGAGCAGCAGTCTCCACACAGCCCTTCCCACAGGCTTGGACCCTCCTGTGACAGGGGCTTTAGGGCTGGAGGGCTTGGAGCAATCCCACTGAGCGTCAGAATCCTCATTTCCTCCGATTTGGGGAGCTCAGCCTGTTTGTGCAGGCACTTGCCTCTTGCAGTGACAGTGACAGCCAGACCCCAGGTGAGCATCTCACTTTTGTGCCCGCACGCTGGGAGGACCAAGGTGCAGCTGCCTCGGGGATGCTGATGCTGGGGTGGCCCGGCCCCCGCTCCCCCCGATGGGATTTGTGTCCCCCTGGGACAGAGCCCGTGGCTTTTCCTGCACGCGCTGCGCTTCGAGGCACTGCAGCATGGCACAGATTGTCTGCACACAATGCCCACGGACAGTGGTCCTGCAGCCCCTGGCACTCAAACCCACGTGTGCCAAGCGTGCCAAGTGTGCCAAGTGTGCCAAGCGTGCCAAGTGTGCCAATCAGTGCCGAGCTGCCAGGATCAGGCCAGGATGAGGCCAGCAGCTACAGGAGCTGCACCCATGGGCGCAGGGCCTCTGCACAGCAGCAAACACTGCCTTTGCTGTGTGTGGGTTTGACATCTGCAGAGTGGTTCAGCCTGAGAGTAAATGCAGTAAGTGTGTTTTCCCCTGGTGCTCTGTGTGCCAAATATGTGCTAATGGAGCACTAAAGTCTGCTATTGGCTGAGGCAAACATTTAAAAATAGGTATTATGTAGTAAAGTAAAAGAACATAATATTAATTTAATTTTCAAAATTGCCAAGCAGCAGGCGGCTCTTGTTTGTTTAGTTTTGGGTTTGGTTTTTTTTTTTTTGAGAATCAATCACTCATTTCTGCCTAGACTTTGGAACATGATTTGATATTCCTATTTATTTGAGGAACATTGGCCAAATTACTGGCTGTCAGCTAGGATCTTTATCAGGAAATCTGTAACTGAACATTCCAGGCCAAGACGCAGAGAAACCAAAACTGGGAAGAAACTTGCATGGTGTGGTGGCAGTTACACTGGAAGCAATAACTAGGATTAAAAATTCCAGTTCCATTAAAAAGCCACGTTCAGGAGAAGCAGCAGAAACATATTTTTGTGAACCTGGAATGTGTGTTTTTGTTTGCAGGGGTAAGAGCTCTCCTCCTCATAACACTGTGACTTCCAAAGCTTTGAATGAATAACCGTAGCTGATGAATAACACTACCTACAAATGAAATCTTAATTGCAAAACAAAGGAATAATAAAGGAAAGTTAATACATTTTTGATTTTATTTAAAGCCTAGAAAAATTTAGGTTGGAGTTTGGGTGAAGGTTTGCTTGCTGCCTTTCCCCCTTTTATCTGAACCAGCTCACTCAGACCTAATCTTCATCATCTAAACCACAGGATTAACACACAAAATAACTTTGGAGCAAGCCAGGTCCAAGCAGGAAGCTGCAAGTGCCATCATGTCTTCATGATATTAGCCAGCAGAATAACTGTGGTTTCTTCAGTTTTTTGGTGGTGTGTTTTTCTGGTCGGTTGTTTTTCTGGTTTTGTTTTGGTTTTGTTCTAATTCACTACGTGTATGTTTTCCTTGAAAGGGCCTGCAGTTTTTGTTTCTTTGTGTTGGGAACATTGGGATTCCCAGACTCCTGGGGGGATGCTGGTTCTCTGGGCAGTGACCCCCAGGAACAGCAACGAGCCCAGGGCTGTCCCTGCTGAGCTCCCGGTGCAGAGGGAACCTGCAGCCCGGGCACGCCGCTCCTGGGGGGTTAAAAGGGAAAGAGCTGCCCCTGCAGCCAGAGGGGATCGCTCCTGCCGCGCTGCATCCGGCCTGGAGGCTCCTGGCCCTGGCCCGGGAAAAGGAACGCTCCTTTCCTCCTCCCAGCACCCCGGTGGGCTTAGGTGGGAACTCTGCACCAAGCTGCTCCGATCCCAGCAGCTCTGGGCATGTCCAGACACAAAGCTGCTGCTGCTGGAAGAAATGTTATCCTGAGCAGGGAGTAACCTATGGAATTGTAAGTGCTTAAGTCCTCTTTTGCATCTGGCCCAAACTTGCAAGAGAGGAAGGGCCAAGTGCTCAGAGGCAGCTTCCATTTTATGGCTCCAAATTGTGCAAAAAAACTTCTGGACTCGAACACTTTGCACCTGTGTTTGTGCTGGAGTGAGGAGAGCCCCTGCCAGGCACGGGGAGGCTCAGGCTCTCTGCCCCTCTCTGCTCTGGGAATTCAGAGGGGAGGGAGCCTCCTGCCAGCCAGCCCAGTCCCATGTGCCTCCCATGCAGAGCTCCGTGGTTGGCGCACTGGGTGCTGGCTGGGCACTGGCATGGAGCAGCCTGGCTTCCTTGGAACGTTTCCTCTGCATTGTACTGTTCCTTCCAGCATTTCACAAACCGCCACAAAGGAGACGACAAAACAGAGGGGGAAAAACCTTCTCAAAATGAATTGTGTGTCCCTTCCCTCGCTACCCCAACAGCCTTGGCAGGCTCATAGGAGCCAGGCAGAGCTGGTCTCTGCTGGCTCTTGCTCTTTGCTCAGTTTTATGATAATCTGGGGGAGTTTGCTCATGGAGTGGTAAAAGCACAAGGAGGGAATACTTAGCTTTCATTCCTAGCTCTGCACCAAGACCTGTTTTTATTGGGATGACATGTTTTGGTTGTCCCATTGGCACAAACCTTGTTTTATCCATTTGCTGCTTGTGTTATTTCCAGGGCTTTCTGAGGCTCAAATCAAAACAATAGCAAAACATCCTGATTCATCTGCAAAACAGAGTATAAACCTGAGAGCTGTGACCTCCCTGCTCTCATTCAAAGGCTACTAAAGACAATGCAAAGGCATCCTCTGACTCCTGTGTGCTTTAGGTTGCAGAGCTGCCCTTGATCAGATGGAAAAGAGAAGGAAGGCCAGGAGAAATCAAGGGAGAGTTGGAAGGGCTACAGGGGACATTAATGAGAATTAAAAGACACCCTCAGGGGATGCTGGAGGCAAGGCTTTTGTCAAAGCTTGGCTTGAACACACAAATTTAGGGACTCAGCTTTTGCAGCTTCTTGGCTCATCCCTGGAAGAAAACAGCTTCCTGTCCTAACCTCTTAATGGGAGTTCAGTTTGCCATTCACAGTACTTTTCATACCTGAAAGAACAACTCAGTTCTGCTTTCATGGCAGAATTCCCAGTGATTTCATTGCGAGCACAGCTCACATCCTCTTATTCTCTGCTGTTCAGTCCTTTTCCCATCTTCCCATGCTGTGAGGCTTGACTGGTCCCCTCCTCTCTCCTGCTCGTTCTTGGTATCTGTTTCTTTGACACAGGTACTAAATCCATCTAAAAACCATATTTGTTTCTGTAGCAATCAAAAGAGTAAAAAGGGGAAATGAATTCAGTGTCTTCTGCAGCTGTTCAGCACCTCTGCTGTGTTCCCTCCTGGGCTTTCCCAGCAGCTCCAGCTGTTCCCAGATGGGTTATGGGGGACAGGGCCCCTGGACTGCCCCACAAGCAGCTGTCAATGGAGCACGTGAACAGCCCAAAGCACGGATACAAAAATGGAGAAAAGGAAGAACCAGAAAGGTATGGCTGTTCTTGAGAAGGAAATCCCAGGACTGCATTCTCTGCACTGCTGTTTCAGCAGGGTGGGTTCCACAGCAGCCCTGGCTCTGGGCTCCTGCTCTGAGTGCCTGGGGTCAGTGCCTACAGCTGCCCTGTGTGCCTCTCACCATCCCCTTTTCTTGCTTGCAAATTGCTTCCAAACAAGTGTCAGGTTGTACATAAAACCTGGAAAGTTTATCTAAAACCAGATTTTTCTGAAGTTATTCCAAGGCTTTTATCAAAACAAACCCTGCAAAGATCTGTAACCACGATCCTCTAATAACCATGTCATGCCTAACCCTCATGCCATCAATGACCACCTTCTGTCATGGGTGATGGAAGTGGAAGAATATGAACACTGATTATAAAAGGAGATGCTCTGAGTTGTGATCAGAGGTAGTTCGGTTTCTAGCAAGATACTAAATTGGATTCACTAGCAGCAGTGACAAAAAAGACATTTGATAATTTGATCCAAATATTTAATTTTGCTTTAAGCGTTTTTAAAATACAATTGAGCGCTAAACTAAAATGGACACTAAATACCAAAGCTAAAATATTTCACTTACAAAATGTAAATTTGTTCAGAATCTCAGGGTGATATAACCACACCAGTCAGCTGAAACTGGTGCTAGTTCCCCAGGCTTTTTCATTTTCCTGGATTTGACCATTCTGGCTGAG